TGTGTGTTCTCTCGCGCGCGCGCGCGCGCGCGCGTGTGTGTGTGTGTGTGTGTGTGTGTGTGTGTGTGTGTGTGTGTGTGTGTGTGTGTGTGTGTGTGTGTGTGCACGTGTGTGCGTGCGTGGGTGTTGTGTGTGCGCGTATGTGCTTGTGTGCGTACGTGCATGCATTCGTGTGCGTGTGTGCTTACGTGCGAGCGTGCATGTGTGCCTGGATTAGTGATTTTAATATGAGGAAGTGAATTATAGGTATGTAGCCAAGTCTGAAAAGGTCCCATCACGTTTGCCCTTATAACTACATAATGGAATAGTATTTGCTTCACACTCGCACACTAACCTAGCAATAGATAGACATTTGTGGCAGCAAGTTTTCTACGGGAAGTAGGTATTTAGGGATTCATTTCGTAGACGCGGTAGCTTATAGTACTACCTGCGTTAGTTATAGCGTTTAGTGTAGCGTACTGTATAGGGTTTCGGCTAGCACAATTAACGGTTCTTTAATTTCGGAAAACTTTTCTTATGTCAGCAAACGCTAGCACGCAAACATCATTAGTGCGGATGCTTACCTTGAAAGTAGCACTTTGAACGCAGAACGAATATAGCTGCGTTACATTACGTGTACATCTACATATATATACACGCGGAATGAAAACACGTAGAAAACCCATGGTTTGCATCATGTGGTATGACATTTACACGCGATGACGCGAAATTTTGTGTTACGTTGTTTTTTAAGAAGCTGCTTTTCATAATCGAGTCCGCTAGAGCCTTCATACTACAAAAAAGATGTCGCCTTATCATAGTTCTTAAAATACACAGCGCTTCTAGAAACGTGGACGGAGGTTTCGCAGGCGAGCACATGTAAACCGTATAAGATAAGTAAAAATGGTTAGCTTTCAACTGACAAACTCTCAGCGTTGAATATATACACACACACTCACCCACACGTATAGGCATGCAAGCACGCACGCACACACACACGCATGCATGCATGTACGCACGCACGCACGCATGCACGCACGCACGCACGCATATATATATATATATATTATAACGATTTAGCTGTATCTGGCTATTACACAAACTCGTTTTTAGATGTGTGATGATTCACCTTGACTACTGTTTAAATTAAGAATATATTAAAATGTTAAAACTTTACTGAAATTTTATTTACTGAGATTTTAATTGGTCTGTTCGACTAAAAAACAAAACGCAATGTTGAATGCGGATTGTGAAACCTAATGTAATAGTACTAGATATGCTTGAAATCAGGGGGAAATCATATTTAATATCGTGACATGGTAATTAAATGTTTATTTATTTGCATCTCTAATATAAGAATATAAGAAGATCAGCGTGAATAAAATAATAATTATGATAATTTATTTTCCCCGACGGCTAACTGTTTGACATTAAATAAATCTGGCACTACTGCTCTAATATCTACACGTTTCATTATGAAATATGTGACGTGCTCACAACGAGGCAGTCAAAATGCGGCGTTATTAAAATACGATTGCATTGTTTATGAATTATGATATAAATTCGTATTATAGTACAATCTCATGCGTTGGCGCTATTGCAAGAGCTTATTATATTCGAAGAACTTTCGAGCTGTAAAAAAATTACCCGAAACTATCATATTTTCTACATGCCTAACGTACTTATTCGCACTATATGAACGGCTTTTCAATATGATAACGTTTTTGAAGTGCTGGACTTTGGAGGAAATACGTTTCTCGAGTCCATGCAGGCAATTACCCACCGTGCCATGGGCGAACAGATTGAAGTCTTAGTTATAAAAAACTGGCATAACGTCAGTATTTATCAGACCGAAATTTTTTTCTTAATATGTGCCTGCAATATACGGGTATATGATGGCTTCAATACTTTATGTCGAATACTGGCTTATCAATGACCGAGGTTGTTCCAGATACGGACACAAAAAACTGCTGAATTTCTGTAAAACGAAAATTTTTTCTTTATTCCTACGAAACACGTTCAACCATGCTAACAGCTCAAACCCAAAAGAAAGAAATTCAGGTGTGCACTGCCGTCCCGCGTACATCCGCTCATGTGACCAACTAGCTTCTCGTAGCTAGCTACTGTCGCGCCGTGCAGCATAATATAAGATGTATTAATGATTAATAATATTAATTTTAATGATAATATTAATAAGATGTACAATATACCTCAATGCGAGATGCAATCCTTAACAGTGATTGTCAGGGCGTTCTCTCCGTTAATAACGATTAATGCACGAGATAAAATAATATTCGTAAACTCTAAAGGGCCCAAGAGACATGGATGCTCTAACCTTTCAACAGCACTATAATAATCCTAGAAGATTAACGCCTGCACTAAAGCTTTCACCTTACTAACTGCTTAAATGTGAAACGGGCTTTCTCATCGCAGACGACAAGTAAATCCCGCATGAGTACGGGTGAACTAAACCAATTTCCCGGACTAATTTCCGACTGCACAGAGCTGACGCTACCTGATTAGTTCCGGGTTTTACGAGTTATTTAAAAGTAATTAATTAATGTTTTGCTAACGTACCTCTCACACGAGCAGCAGCTTACTGTTTCTATAGGTAAGAAGATTGCCTGGTGTTACGCGGTATCTTTAATTTTATTAACACGCT